CCCCCCCCCCCCCTCTCTCTCTCTCTCTTAGACACGGCCCCCCCGGAACGGGAAAGACGCATCTCGCGCGAGCGGCAGCCGCCGCCGCCGGGGCCAGCATCATCTCCTTGTCGGCTGCGTCGATGGCGCGTGCGCATGTCGGCGAGTTGGAGGCCTCAGTCCGGCAGGTCCTGGCGGCCGCGCGCGAGGCAGCACCCTGCATCGTCCTGGTGGATGAGATTGACGCCCTGGTCGGGCGGGCCGATGCCGGTGCGGAGGACGCGGGAGCCCCCGGGGACGAGCTGCTCCTGGCGTCGCTGCTGGCCGAGCTGGATCAGTTGGCTGATGTCGCGGCCTCGGTGCGCATCATCGCCACCACCAACCACCTTCCTTGGCTGGACGCGCGGCTCCTCCGACCCGGGCGCCTGGATGTCCAACTGGAGGTCCCCCTACCGGACCATGCTGCGCGAATGGAGATCATCGGTGCGAGGCCTGCTTCCCCCTGTCGCTCCTCCCTTGACCCTTTTCGCCTCTTTCCCGTCCCCATCTTCCCCCCTTTCCGCCCATCCGCCCACTAACACACACACACACACACAGAGCTTCTCCTGCGAAAGATTCCCCTCGCTGCCGGCCTTGACTTGTCGCTCGAGTTCCTTTGGAGCCTGGCCGACCAATGTGAGGGCTTCTCCGGGGCGGAGCTGGTCAACCTCACCCGGCAGGCGACCAATGCGGCCCTCTCGCGGCTTCTCTCCCAAGAGCAAGACACCCCCGATGGTGGTGCGGATGAGGAGGTACGCATGGCTTCCCTGGAGCCCGTTCATCTGTCCCTCCGCAGCGCATTCACCCGAGCATGCTCCTCTGTTGCTCCGGCCAACCCCCCTGGCCGGCAGATTGCCATCCATGCCGCCGACATTGAGGCCGCACTCTCTTCGCTGGTGGCCGCACGCCCCGGCCCCCCTGGCCACTGCTGGCCCGCCGAGCCGGCGTACGACGAGTCCCCCTCGACCGACGACACCCCCACGGGCGCCTCGTCAGCCGGCGACACCCCGGCCGTCCCGGAGCAGCCGTTTGTCTTCCGGCCACTGGCTTCGGCTGAGCCCACTGGCGCCGGGGCATCCATGCAGCCGGCCCACGGCGGGACTGCCAATGGGCCGCCGGTCGCTCTCCCGTCGGTTGGCCCGGCCGCCGATCGGCGCGCCAGTGACACCGACACAACTCCACCCCCGGCGGCTCCCTTCGTGTTCAAGCCTCTCGGACGGTAGCCCATCTACTCCGTCAGAACGGTGCTACAATATACGACCATATCACGTGCACCGGGATTGTGGGGTGCAGGAGTGAGCTGTAGCGCCAAGTGCAGCCCCCGTGGTGCGTCGTCCTGGAGGGGGGGGGGGAGGGGGGGTATGCGGGAGGGCGGGGGGTGCCTCCCGCGTGCCCGGCCATCGCGCTCTCTGCCTTGGGGTCCGGATGTTGTACCAGCCCCAGCATCGCCACTGGCCCGCAGGCAACATTGCCCGCCGAACAGAGTGGCCGAGGCAAAAGAGCCAGCAGCCCACTGTCCTGGCCGCCGCCGATCCGGCATCTCCTTCGTTCACGCATTTGCCACTCGATCCCCGCCGCCGCTGCTTGACTTTGTGGCACCTTTGTCACGCCCTCGTGTGCCCCCCCCCCCCCCCCCCCCGCCGCTCTCCCCCTTTTTCGTCACGCCCCTTGCTCCGCATCTCTACATCGCCCGGCCAGGGAAATATGCTCCACCGGTCCGGACTCTTGACGGCGCGCTTGCCGCTGGCCGCAGCGGGCCAGGCAAGGCCGCGGCCATCGATGTTGCCGCGACGCGTGCCGGCCGGAGGGGTGGCCCCCCTTCCACTCGCCGCCGGCCCGGTGTTCGGGGAGTTCGGCGGCGCTCATGCTGGAGGTGTGCTGGTGCGACGCCATCTGAGCCTTTCTCCATGGAGCGGAGGCAAGAAGCCCCCGACGCCGACATCCGCGCCGACACCCGGCCAGCTTGGGCCCAAGCCCGGTCCCCTGGGCCGCCTATCATGGTTCTTGGCCTCCGGGGCCGGGAAGCTGGTTCTCGGCTCCGGCAAGAAGGTTGGCTCGATGGCGTACGGGCTGGCCTCGCGCCTTGTAAAGGGCACCCTCATTGGCGTGGGTCTCTTCCTGGTGGCAAACTGGTGGGTACGTGTAGGGGGCAGTGGCCTCACTGGGGAGAGGTCTCGGGCGAGGGGGAGCCGGGAGGGGAAAGAAACACACACAGACACACAGACACGCAGACACGCAGACACGCAGACACACAGACAAAGACCCGCCCATAAGCCAGGTTGCTGACCCCCGGAATTGGCGGCCCCCAGTTCAACAAGGCCCTGGAACGCAAGAAGCAGGAGCTGTACGACCAGTATGTGCCGGAGTTCATCAAAAACATGCCAGGCATGCGGGTCCCTTCGGATGGGCAGTCGCCGGTCCAGTCGCAGCCTCAGTCGCAGGATCTGTAAATGCGCCATTGGTGCATGTGCCTTGGAAAGGTTGAATACATTCTATGAGAAAAAAAAAGGTAGAAGCAAGAAAAGAGGGGGAGGGCAGTCGAGTCGGCGGGGGCGGGGGCGGGG